TCCCTTTTTTGTTATCGAGTAAAAATAAGGAGTAAAAGTAATCAAAAGACTGGCAGATGGAAGCAAGTGAGAAGCAATGTACACAGATAATTCAGAAATAGGAAATGTCTGAATTTTTAAAAATTGACTATATATCATTTCTAGAAAGCATGCCAATTAAATAAAGGAAATATATTTATACAAATAAAACCTTCAGATCTCAAAAAATTCTAACACAATCTTACCTCGCTCTCTTAAAAAGCTCAATACAGTCTGATTAGGAAAATAAAATCTAGCTTCAAAAATATATATAAAATCCAAAACAAGGAGTAAACTAAAAACTGTGCATTTGTTCTCTATTCACTTTACCATTTTTCAATCTGGAAACAGTTCTAAATTTAGGAGTGAGCTATAATAAGGCATGGTCAGATGACTGCCTAGTTCTTGAACATTAATAAATACTTAATTCTTGCACAGATGAAATATTGCATTTGGAGAGGTGGGTAGTAGGCAGTGTAAAAAAATAAGTAGAATCAATAACTTTAACTTTCCTCATTGCTGTGGTTCTCTTTTATCTTTAAATCCCAGAACCTGCAGATTTCTAAAGACTGAACAAATTGCGTTGTTTGTATATAACAAAAACTATAATTTTTCAAATACTTTAAGTTTAGGAAACCCAAAATATATTTAAACAAGCTTTTTCCTTTTAACCTTCTGAGTTTTAACTATTTTTAGTCCTAGAGCTGATGAATTTATATATCCTAAATTACCTTTCTCAGCAAATGAACAGATTTCATTTCATCTTATCTGTTAGTTATGATGTAATGCTCCAATATATAAACAGCTCAATTCAAACTTACTATTCCTAAAGACAATAACAGAAAGTAATAACCTTCCATACTTTCGTGGATTCTGAATCTGAATGAAACAAAAATATAAAATTTAGGTGATATTTCTCTTGCAATATACAGAATACAACTTCTCAAATATGTAAATTAACTTATGACTCAGTTTGCTGGGTGATGTTCTCATCATGACTCAAATGGATGCAACCAGTTAAAAATGAATGACTTGGGAGCCTGCCATGAACTATGAAGCTATCTGAGTAAGCTGCTTGTATCTGGCCTATATTAAGGGTAAGAAATTTTTCCATCTAGTACATTTTGGAGGTAATCCCTCTATAACTGAATAGAAATATGATAAATGGCTGGCATGGCTATACTGAATTCCTCCCCTCGAATTCTGCATTTGTTCCATGGATTAGAACTATTCTAGATGCTGTGGCATTTATTCTTTTGAGAATGACATCAGATGTCAAACAAGCAGTACTTCCGGACAACCTTCCAATTTCAGTATATCTGGAGAAAAGCTACGTTATGGATGTCTGTAGAGGGTGCAGAGACAGCACTGATCACCACATTTTAATCATGATTAAGCTGGAGGGGAAGTACAAATGCTTCTACATAGAAATTGAGAAGACTGTATTTTCCAGGTTGCTCTTCTCTTACAGTCAAGGTGAAAAACTGCCTGTTCTAAAACATTACCATACCGTCACAGTGTTTTATAAAAAAAAAGAAAGTTATTTGAAAATAGTTATTTTAAAATCTTATGAACTTATTTCTATTTTTAGGAAAGTTACCATCACCAGAGTCCCTAGGCATGAAATTACAATGGACAGATAGTTGCCACTGTGGTTAATAGCTGTTAGATTTAAAAAAGAAAAACGCTCTTCCTTTTCTTTCATTTTAATAAAAACAGACAAACAAAAAAATCCTACAGGAGTGGCTCCAGAATTTGCTGCACATTGGAATCACCAAGAAATCTTTTAAAAACACTGCTGCCTAGCTCTGACCACCAAACACTCATACTCTGATTTATTTGGGATGGAGTGCAAACCCAGAAAACAGGATTTCTAAAAAGTTCCCTTGATGATTCAAATGTGAAAACACTGATGTAAAGCTTTAAGATGCTTAAAGTCTCTTCCTCCATCCATGTCAAAAAAGGACAAGAGGTAGTTCCTACAAAGAACCACACCAGCAGACATGGGCCTGTTCATTTCAAAGACTAGAAGTGACTTTGATTTCAATAAATCTGTATGTTTACAGTAAGTATGTTTGTCTGTTGGCTTACTTGTGAAGTTGCTCAGTCATGTCCGACTCTCTGCAACCCCACAGACTATAGACTGCCAGGCTCCTCTGTCCATGGGAATCTCCAGGCAAGAATACTGCAGTGGGTTGCCATTTCCTTCTCCATTGTGTATTGGAGAGAGAGAATTGTTAAATGCCAAAAAATTTTAAAAGTTAAGTTTTAAATAAAGTTTAGCAATCTCAAAGAGAAAGAACTTAATTTTTTAAATTGCAGATCATAATGGAAAGAATATTGTAAATGACAAGTCTCTTGATATTTATATCAAAACATCCTTTATAACATATATACAAGTAGGTTATTAAACAAGAAGTGATTCTATTTTGCTAATATATATATAATCTGCCATTCTAGAAAAGAAATATTAAAATAGATATAAGAGGAAACAGGACATTACACACTAGTAAAGTTAATACTATCACTAAGGCAATGTTTCTCAAACCTCAAGTCACTGTCAAATTTACTAGGTCATAGCCAAAATGTCTTTCCAACGAAGTTGAACATAAAAGAAAAAAATATCAGAGTGTTGAATGTGGTAAAGGAAAATGTTTTGTGAAACTTGTGTGAGTATTTATTTATTACTATGGTGATGGTTTAGTCGCCAAGTCACGTTGACTCTAGTGACTCCATGGACTATGGCCCTCCAGGCTTCTCTCTCCATGGGATTTTCCAGGCAAGAATATCGGAGTGATTGCCATTTCCTACTGCAGGATGTTTTCCCAACCCAGGGATGAAACCAGGGTCTCCTGAACTGCAGGCAGATTCTTTACCTACTGAGCCACCAGGGAAGACCCATTTATTATTGTGACTCACAGCTTAAAAACTGTAAAAGCCACTGCTCTAGAGATTGTTCTACTGTAGCTTAGAACATGTGAACTCAAACTGCATAGAAAATCAGAGGTCCACAAAAAAGCAAAGTTCTTTATATAACTGGAAGATACTTACAGATTTGCTTATCACTTCATTTCACAAATGAGGATACTGAAAATCATAAAAATAAAATGTCTTGTGTCCAGTGTTTTCTACTATACCTTAAGAGTCAGGTTCCTCTGAAACCTATATTTACAAAACAAATTTAAGGCAGGTATTTCACATACTAAATTGCCTTGGCTACAACTCCAGATTTTCAGTCATATTATGCAAACATTCCATTGATATGGTGACATTCACACAAATTTGTACTCAAATGGAAAGTATACTGTGTGCAAATTAAGTAATACATTTAAAGGCTCTTGACTCTAGTGCTCAGAGGTATAGAATTATTTTCATAGATAGGAGATTATTAAGTATTCAGGCTCCAATAAAGAGATCCTCAAAAAAGCACACAATTATGACAGTATCTAGGACTGCAGGATGAAAGGACTGTCAGAAATTCCCACTCAATATTCTCGATTTTATGTTCTTGTTCTCTAGTTTCATTATGGTGTCATACACAGACACACAGAGACTAACACGTTTATATTTTTAAAGATTACTGTAAAGAATCTGTAAAAAGAATTGAAAATGAAATTAAAAATCTATGTAACTTTAAACTCTGGAGCAAAGAGTTTCCTAAAAAGTGGTGATGCAAGTAGAACTGTTTCTCATGATCTATGAGGCCTGAACCTCTTCAGTTTGGTACTTTATTTCTTGTAACTATGCAGAGAAAAGGCTGATGGTGATGTCATTAACAAGATATAGTACAGTACATAGTTGTATAGCCATTTTTTTAAAAAAAGCCTTCCTCAATGGTTCTGGCACATACACTTCACGTTCCCATCTCCTTAATGGGTTATGTTAATATTAACTGAGAAAAATTAAATCTTTTAAATACACTTTAATCTTCATCACGTTTAACTTAAAGGCAAGAGAACATGAGTCTATATCAGGTGGTTCAAGGAAGGCCAAATAGAAAGATTTAGAATGTCAATTAAAATGTATCAGGCTACATGAAATAAGAAACCATTAAGTAGGTGAAGGTTACTGGGCAATGGTGGAAGGTATATATTAGGAAAACTAGTACCAGATCTTTTTCCCACCTCATTCTGCCACACATGTCTGGAAAGTTTCCTTACAAGAGGTATTTGAGGGCACATCCTGTGAAGAGCAAACCTATAGAAACCTAGGAACTGCATAAATAAACAAGCAAGCATAGAGACCCATGAAAGAAAAGCTGGAGGAAGGAAGGGAAAGTGAAGGAGTTGCAGAATCTGTGATTCTGAATCACCTAAAGGGCTAATTATGATTTTTAAACAGCTAAGACAATAAAGATTAGTCTGTAACAAGGTCATTACATTTGGTTAAGGGCACACTGGTAAATGTAGTAAGAAAGATTTTAATGTCTGTGCAAATGAGGAAGCTGAATTGAAAAGGATCAAAGAAAGCATTGAAAGATGGGTCCGAAGTACAAAAGAAAGCAGGGGAAAATGGAGTGCCTCACATAGCTAAGAATGTCAAGATAAAGAACACAGAAATACCAATAAAAGAAAAATATTGTCCTTTCACAAAAAAGCCCAGATAATAAAGTGAATACTGAGAGAAGTGATTAGAAATAGACAATAAAGCACAAAATTAAAAAAAAAAAAAAAAAAACGAGGGAGAAGTTAAATAATAAGACAAATTGTATCTGATATTTATCCTGAAAACTTCACAACCGCTTTTGGGGAAAGCATAAAAATTCTGATCTGAAATAAACTAACTGATGAATCAGGCAGAGATTTTATCAAGATTCAGGTTTAGGGTGGTAGTGTGAGAAGGAAGAGTAAGTTTTTAAAAAAAGTTGTTGGCAAGAGAGTCAACAAGGGCAAAATGAGTGTCAGAAAGACAGCAGAGTTGGAGGAGGAAAGAACAAATTTGTTGAGGAGGAAGTCAGTATGTTTCTTTGACTTTCTTCACAGGAACAAAGCAGAATGTGAGTATAAATTAAGAGTCAATCCCAAAGGTAAGTGATCTCTAAAAATTACTTAGAATGCAGTCATTAATATATATACATATACACATAGATATATATTAAACACATATATACATAGCAAATCAAGACAGAGGTAGGAAAAAGTTTCATTTGAACAAAATATATAGCATTCTGTGGCAGGTAAACTGTGAAAGGAAAGGGTAAGTCCTAATTACAGCTTCTGTTTTCTCAGGATGGTGCTGAGTAATAAACATTGCTATTACCTGACAAAATTACATCCAAAATCATAAAATTTTTGGTAATAAACAAATCAGGCTATAAAATACTAACCACCTTTGAAACATTTTTTATTTGAAATAAGTTTCACCTTTTGTAAATTTCCTGAGTGAGCTACTCAAAATAACAGAAATCTATATAATAACTGAGACACTGTCATAAAATATCACTGATGATTGCAGATGGCCTAAACTGAATCTATATAACATGTATTTCATCCGCTGAAGTTCAAGGATGTTAAAATATATATGTAGAAAGATTAAACTATTTAGAAGTTATAATTACACAGAATAGTGTATAATTTGACTATATTACAAAGTGGGAGAGATGATTTTGCTAATTCATTTAAGATACAAAGAAAAGAGCTCCCAATGCAGAGTGAGAAAAACATCCTGGAGCCTATAAAGAATAACCTTTTGTTGATAGAAGATGGCAAATGTTTGAATGCTCGCAAGTGTGCATATCGCTATTCAAAAAGGATATTTAAAACACACAAACACAGTTCAGACACATGTATCTGAAACACTAGTTCCTTCTACCAACTTTCAAAGGCTGCCTTACTTGTACCCACAAATGGCAGCCCAGTAGGCAGTGACATCAGACCTCGAAATGATGTGGCTTATACAGAATGCAGTGAAGTGCAGTGCTCTACTTGTTTGCAATAGTTTTATTTTTCGACTAGTTTTTATCACACTTGGCATGAACAAGGGAACATGTGCTTTGCTAAATTTGAACTTTTAAGATGAGACTGAATTAACCGAGAACCAAAAAATTGCTTCTGAATTATCCTAAGATTGAAAAATGCCTTCCCCTTCATACTAGGAATGACAAAATAAAAGACAAATACATCTTAAAAGTTGAAATGTGAGCTAGGAAGATCCTTTCAATCAGAAAGTTCCATTAATTTGCCATTTCTTGAAACTTAAGTGTGTATCTGAATACATACATAACACACATATGTAAGACATGTTTTTGTTGTTATTATTGAGTCACTAAGTCATGTCCAACTCTTTTGCAACCCCATGAACTGTAGCCCATTAAGCTTCTCTGTCCATGGGATTTCCCAGGCAAGACATATATATACTAAGTAAGTATAACTCTTGCCCCAAAACTTAATCTTATATTTTTTCCTACTAGTAGTTGAACAAAATAACTATATTAGCTAAAATAACCAGAGATATAGCCCTAGAGATGCTCTCCCTTCATAAATTCCCTCTTCCTCCTCAAAAGGTTTGCCAAGATATACAAGTATAAATGATTTATATATATAATGAGTACCTTGTCATGTAGGTATTTTCAGAGTTAAAATACAAAATAATTTTAATATAAAATTCCATTTATAAATCACAGCATATGTTTATAAGGAATCTAGTGATAAGTAATAGGTCAAACAACCTGAAAGAATCAGCTTGTGGTACAAGCTTCATTGCATTAATAATGTCACAGTTTGTATGTTTATTAAATTAAATATTACCAGCAAGGGTCTTCTAAATGCCATGTCCCTAATACTAGATCACATATTTATTTCAGAGTTAGCATAGTAAGAGGGGGAGCTATCACTAGAAGGTCTATTAAGCCATGGGCTTTTTTTTTTTTTCATTGCTTTAATGGAACTATTCAAATCAAATTTTTCACGCTATGCCTTGAACACCGCTGCAAACCATACTGTGGGTGTAAAATACATGCAAGGCAGATATAATCATCTCAGATGAGACCAGTGACTTGTACACCATCAAGTTTACTTTATTGTGAAAGCAATGGGGTTTTCTTTCAAGAGAATATATTTTTAAATATGCTGCAACCTAATTTACAAGCTGAAGACCAGAACCAGGAAGACACAAATCTCAAAGCAACAGAATTAAACCAAGTATAATGCAATGTCTAAAATCCTGCCTACTTTGTCTCTGTCTTCCTTGAGAAATGTATCTTGTTCTGGCAAAAGAAAATCTAACTGCCCAAAAGTAAATCTTGCACTCAGAATGTAAATTCAACAAATCATACAGATTCAACTTACTTAAAAATTCTCAGCCACCTTTTAAAAGATTGATTCTACAGATATTACGAAGAACACTTACTCTTTAAAATATTAAAATTAACCAAGCAATTGCCCACACACCAGAGTAAATTAAATATCTTAAAAATCGATAAAGAGCTTATCCTTGCTCTCTAAAGCTGCTGACTTCTTCAAAGTAAGTTTTTTTGTTTTTTTAATTCTAAAAATAAAAATAATTGTTACTGTTTGCTTTGGGGGACCGAGACTAGTCTGTTTTCACACAAGATCACAAGCTCTGTAGTTTTTCCGATCTCCATGGCTAAAACATATACACACTATAAGAACTCATATACAGACTGAAAAGGTGCTGCACCAGAGGACAAGCAGAGTATTTTATAAAATCACTATGGACACAAATACCTTGCCCAAATATTGCTACAATGCATTTGAAATTCTCCAGGAATGTAACGACCTCTATTTAAAAGGCTTTTTTTTCCCAAGCCTGCACCCTAAACAGAAAGTACAACATCCCTGAAGGCTTCAGTACTAAAAGAATAGATACTTAACATCACACACACACACACACAAAAAGTGGGTCATAAGTAAACCAGTTTTAACAGCAGGATTTATAAGAAAATGTAAGTGCAGGAGGGAAGAAGGTTCATAAAGTTCTCTGTAGACCCTAAATTACATTTTAAGAGCTTGGAGGATGTTAAGTCAGTCCTAAAGAGTCAGAAACGACCTAATTTTTTTGAAACAAACCCAGTAAATTTCCCCTAGGCCTAAAAAGGCTTCCATGTCCTAAATCCCAGTAGGTTGCCTGGCTTGGTTCTGGCGGAGCCACAAGCGCAGGAGGGCCGCACCCAAGGCTAGAGGCGAGGCCAGGAAGCCACGCTGGACCAGGCTCTTGAAGGAACCGGAGAACCGCCTGGATTCCGGGTCTGGACCTTCGCTGGGCCCCCTGTCTAGGCCCGCGGCCTGGATCCCTATCTGGACTCGCAGCTTGGAACCCGCGGCCGGAACAGCCAGAAGAGAGCAGCGCGCCCACCCAACGGCGAAGCCAGAGAGCCTGGGCCCAGGCTCAGCGGCGGGCCCAGGCCTTCGGAGCCGCCGCACTGCCGGCCGAGCTCGTGCGGACGTCCGTCCCCGCCGGCCTGGGCTCCCGGATGCACTCGATCACAGCGCGCTCAGTGCCCGCCAGTCGGCCGCCCTGACCCCGCGGCTTCGGCCCCAAGGTGAGGCACCTAGGGCGCAGCATCTCCGGGCTCCAGCGGCGCCTGCCCGCCGCGCTCGGCCCCAAGCTGCTGGTGGGCAAGGAGTTAAGATGGCGCGCGACGCGAGTGGCGGGAAGGCTTGAGGCAGAATAAAGAGCCGCACGCTCGTCTTTTTTTCTTCCTTCCTCTTTTTGAAAAGCCACTTTTGAAAACAGAAAATCTGCAGTTTACGGGGAGGATTCGTCATCCTTCTCCGTCCCTACCCTGACTCCTACCCTCAGGGAGATAAAAAGGCAACTCGAAATGTAACCCGGGACGCGAACTCTGGTTCCCGCAGGCCCTCCCCAAAACCACTGCGATTTCCTTGAAACAGCAGCAGCTTTTCAGACACACTGACAGTGGCACTTCATCAGACACCCAAGACTCTTTGGAAGCCAGGAGAAACGATCACGCTTGAAAGGGACGGAAAGCACACTGCCTCAGAGAGGAGCGCGGAGCTGCAAATTTACCTCACGCTGACTCAGTCCACACAGCAGATGGTGCAGAGCTGCAAGGGAAACGACCTCCCCAATTTTTTTAAGTACTTCCTAATAGCAGCTAAGTGCGTCTTTCAGTACAAGGCACTACGTTCCTGTGAAATCTATCCTCGGCTTCTAAGAGCTTCGTTTCCGCACAGGACACCGACTCCTTTGCTCGTGGTGACTCTGGCCCGAGGGCGGCGGGCCTGGCCCGGCGCCGCGCTCCGACCCCCAGGCTCACTCCCCGGAACCCGTAGCGGCTCGGCAGCCCCTCGCCCTCGGCCTGGGCGCCCCCGGGCCTCCCGGCTGCACGTGCGCCTCCTGCCCGCTGGCACCGAGGTCGCAGGAGCGCCGGGCCGGGGGATGATTACAAGAATACACCGCGCCACTTCACTCGCCACGCAGGCCCCCTCTTCTGTACTTTTTGTCCTCTTGTTTAGTTCTTAGGTGTGATCCGGGAGAAACAAACACAAAGGAAAGTCAGTCATCGCTTTTCTATGTGGCAGACAAAACTCGGCGGAACGCCGTCTAGTGGCCAGATTACCCAAGGAAGGCAAATCGGTTTTGTTCCCCCCTCCAATTTTCATTTTAATTGGTACTTTGAAGCCTCTTTGCATCTGTCAAATTGAAAAGGACCATCTCTGGGTGGTGGTAAATTTCGCCCAAAACCTGAGACTGGCTTAGGCCAAACAAGAATGCTGGACCATTTTCCACCTTTCTTGGATCTCCTTTCTCTGGAGACAAGAGTAAAAGAGAGCTCTGTGGATCCCTTGACTAAGACGCAACTAGCCCCCTCCCAGCTGGAATATCCACATTCTGCATTTTTTCTCAAGGGGTGGGGACCTGGCTTGGGCAGGATGGGCGCAGGAAATCCACTGTAGAAGAGATGGAGTGGTGCTCCACAGATACCTCCTAAAGCAAGTTTTAAGCTCAGTGGTTAAATATCGACCTTTCATGAGTTTGCTCTATGAGTACTTTCCCCACTCCAACCCCACCCTATCCCCTCAAAATAATCCACTCAAGAAATGTAGGCCATTCTGTGTTTTCATTTACGGATCCACCACTCAACTCCAAGGCCTTGTACTTAAAGACCGGAATTTTCAACATCTGACTAAAGCTGCGGTCAACAGCCTATTTTGACAAGCATTTAAATTACACTCTTCTCTTGCCCAAAGCCTCCCTCTTGACTTTGTGAAATTTCAAGAAATACTTAATACCTTATTAAAGACCCTCCATTTCCTGCTCATGTTATTTCCTACTCACAGATATAAGGAAGAATGTACATTTTCCTGAAGAAAAAAAAACGAGTGTAACAAAGTGAACTCGACTCACAGGGAACTAAGGAGTTGTAAATAAGACAGAGAAAAGTAATTACTGGTAGTGGTATATTAACAAATTTAAGAGGAAAATGGGATGTAGTTCCCACTACACAGAATGCCCCATATTGGAGTAGAGACAGGCTACTCTTCCTCAGCCCTTAAAAAATAATCACCTCTAATTAAATTTTCAAACTGTAAACTGCTTTCAAACACCATAGAGTTTTACCAGATTTATTTTACTTGTTATACACAGACGATACAAACGAGCAAAAAACAAAACGTTTCTCAATGGAGTGTGTCCTTGTATAAATTATTCAGTTCACAGACAAAACGAAACAAATATAAAAATCACAACATTAGATTTACAGAAGAGCCAAAATATACACACGTTTAGACCCTGAATTCCTATTAGGAAAAAAAAATCCCCCCAATGGACTGGAATCTAGATTGAGTATTGTGTATGATGCATATTTCACATTAATTTTAAAATACAAAAAAAAGTATAGGTTTGCTACACAACATTAGAAATTCTACTAATCTATTTTCAGGGGGATCAGTGCTCCTTATCAAATATAACAAGACTTAGAGGGGGAAATAAACAGTCTTACTTGCATTAATGCTAGTGTTTTCCCAAGGAAGTCAAATTTCAGCTGTTTCTAGGTGGCGGGGAAATCATTTTCAAAACTAAAATGCAGTAAAATATACAACTCACACAATTCATCTTCACTAGACTACACTATAGTTAACCAACAATTCAGTCATCTATATCATTAGTAGAATATTCATTACAAAGATTTACAGCATATAAAGGTGGAGGGGGGAACTGAAAGATATTCAGAAACAGTTTGTCAGCATATTTGGCACCTGCACAGACCAGTAATGGATTTGGCACTTTGGGGAAAAACAAATAAGGCAAAATAATATTGCTGATGTCGAGCTATTCTATTTAGAAGGAAGGGGGAAAAAACATGTAACTCGTTAACTTTGCTTTGCAGGCATCATGCCACTTAATCGACTTGCCTATGAACAGACACCTATCCTTTACAGGTGTTTGGTCAGATTCTCCTTAGCTATTTGTGTGCAGTAGGGCACAGGGTAGTTATTTCATGCAGTGAATTGAGGAGAAATGAGAAACTCTTCATTATCTAGTCTTTCGAGTTTCCAGAGCCTCTTAGAATACTGTTAATAATCTCACAAGAAAACATTTTTCAGGAGCGGGAGGAGTTGGAGAAAAAGGAAAAGAAATGAATGAGAAAGTTTAAGCGTGAACTGGTTTTGTGCCTTGACAATGTGAATAAAAACTAGCCATTCGTTACAATAAATTAACACTATATACAGTCATTTCACAGGCTTTGTTCCACTAGAATTATTAACATCCCTACCATCCATCCATCCATCCACTCGGGGATAAGAAAGGACGCGCTGGGAGGGTCCAGGTTCTACAGTCAACATCCTACGGTTAATGGGGAGGCCGAGACTTGGCGGGTCGGAATCGCTGCTGCCTCACAGGACTGCCCAGGTCTCCTAAAGGTGAAGAGTTTCATGAGGAGAAAGACAAGGAGAGGGTGAGAAAAAGACGAGGGGAGGAGAACCGTCAGGATAACTTCACAGAAGGAGAGTTAAGTAGGCAAACCGAAAAGGTTTACAGCCAAGTTGAAGGTCGGTGCGCTAACTGCAGAAACTGCTGTGCAAAAAAAAAGGAGGAGGAGGTTAAAATCACACTCAGGAGACCTGTACTAATTCGCTGCAGACGGCGTTCGAGGGTCAAATAAACTGAGGGAGTGCGCGAGGTGGGGCGTGAGCAGGAGGCGCAGGGGGAGAAGCGCGAGGGGCCGACTGGGGCCGGGCCGCGGCGGGGCGCGGGGCCGGGGCGGGCAGGGCCGGCCTAGCTGTGTGAGTAGAAGCCGTAGTAGCCGCCTATGTCCTTGGCGCAGTTCTTCTCGCAGTCCCGCTGGGCCAGCACCTCGCTCTTGAGCGGGGACGAGCTCTCGGACACCGGCGTGTCGGCGGGCGAGATCCGCCTCCGTTTGGCCTGCTCGTAAATCCCCGAGTCGCTCGAGTCGATGGACTTGATAGAGGAGGGCGTCTCGATCCAGCTGGAGTCGGACAGGTCCTTGGGCTTGGCGTCCTCGGCGGCGCCCGGCGGCAGCGGCGAGCGCTCGGCGGCCAGGCCCTCGGCCTCCTCGCCCAGGTAGGGGTTGGCGCCGGCCATGCGCGCGGCGGCCGCGGCGCTGTTGGGCCAGCAGGGCAGCACCGAGCCCGACTTGGCGCCGCAGTACTGCGGTGGGCTGCGCGCGCCCCAGCCCGACGGGTCGGCGTAGTAGCCGAGCGGGCGGCCCGTGCAGCCAGCCGCCTGCAGCGGCAGCGCCTTCACGCCCGCCGCCGCGTACGAGAGCAGCGTGGCCGCGTTGCCCGCGAAGTCCGTGGCCGTGTCGTAGGCCGAGGCGGCGAAGTCCAGCCGGTTGTTGGCCGGAGTCACAAACCAGCGCTGCGGCGACGGCGCGCCCGGGTCCTCGGCCTGCTGCGGCGACAGCAGCCCGTTGGTGTGCGGCACGCTGCGGTCCGTGCCCGGCCCGGGGCCGGCGCCCGCGCCCGGGTGGAAACGGGCTTTGGCGTAGTTGCTCACGAACTGGTCCTGCAGGAAAGAGCCGGCCATGGCGTAGCGGGCCCCGGGCACGATCTGCGAGCGCGGGGAGTCGTTGGGCGAGGGGGTCAGGCGGTCCATGTCGCAGCCGGTGTAGATCCTGCGAGGGAGGGAGAGAGAGAGAACCGAAGGGTGGCGCAAGGTCCTTTCGGGGGCGCTAAAGAGAAGACCACCCCTGGTCGCCCACCCCCACACTCTCCACGTGTAACCTGCCGTCCAGGATAAAGACAGACAAAAGGTCACAGACTTGCATCCTCTCCAAAATAAACCGTGAAATTATAAAGGAACCGATTTGTCCATTCAGGGACCTAAAGCTGATAACAGATGAAGAGGAAGGCTTCCCTCCTCTCTTGCGCTCTCTCACCAAGTGCACAGCGGGCCGAGAGAAGAGCACGACAGGGGATGCTCACCCACTTCTCCAATATATGTGCACAGATTGAGGCAGATCTGCCCAGGGGCTCAGGTGCCATTTGTCCAGTGGGCCTTTCTTCTGCGGTGAGAGTTTCTGAGTGAAATTTCTAAACCGGTTACCCACTCCACCCTTTTAAGACCACTTTCTGCCATCTGACACACACGCGGGGACCCCCCTGGTACTGCGCATCAGATTGGCCTTGGACAGTCTTCTGAGATCCGAGGGTTACTGCTGGAAGCCTCCATGGTACTTACTGTCTATTGTTTTCCCCTGTGTGTTCCTTTAACCATCCCCCCCAACCATACAAACTAGAATTACTACGTGGAAATAAAGTCATCAATCAATAAAATTATTTTACAAAGGAGAATTATTCTTTGAGCTTCTCTCCCCAGCTTTTGATTTGTTACTGGTTTTAAAGGGAAAAAATGTGGGCAAACTCTTAAAAGTACAATTATCAACCTCCGCCAAGAATCTCCCACTGGTAACAGCTCATCCTTATACAACTTGACTATGTTCCAGGCACCCTTGTCTAGGGCTGTACAGATCATTATTTAACCATCACAATTTTCCAAGTTAGGTACCATTATTATCCTACCTTACAGATGAAAACTGAGTCAAAGGAAAGTTAAATAACTTGCCCAACCACAGACAGTGATTGTGTTACTGGGAATTACCTTAGATAAGATAATCAAAGTTTCACTCTAGGCCCCATAGGGGCCTATAAGATCCCATTAGAATTGAGAAGGAACCAGAGACTGGATCAAGATTGGTAGACGTTATTTTCTCATACACATCACACACATGCCTCCCTTTTTTAGCTCACACATAAATGTTTTAATCTTTAAGCAACAGACTGTTTTGAAAGAGAGCCTCAGTCTTATAAGACCTCAATACTTTGGGGAGGAGATTCCCTAGTGAGTGGCCAAGCAAACACCCTGGTCCCCATGAACTCTTTTCCCTGTTTCTCCAAAAGTGAGCCAGGCCCAAATAACCAACGTAAGGTGGAAAGAGAGACAGTGTAAAAAACCATTCTACTCTAAGCCATAAATCTCTAAGATAGCCATTTGTATAGCTAAAGAAGCTTTTTATGATAAATATATAGTGATTCAAGAATCAAACGGAAGTGGCTTTTCCAACAGAAGTCAACCAGAAGAGGGACAGATGAGGGTTATGCTGTGGCTGCTCGGATACAGTTTGCTGACTGAACAAAATTTCCCTCTTGAAACTTAATTCCAGTCTCAAATAAGAACAAGTAGAGGGAGGCAGGAAGGGAACATAACCAGCAAGGTGCAAATATCTTCTCTGTTTACCCCCACAATATTTTTAAAAGGAAAAGAAAAAAAAACAATCTGCAAAAGATACAGTTTATATGCCCATCCAGGTCCCAACCCACTTGGGATTACCGAATTGATTTGTGCAAAATAAAATGCTTTGGAACAGATGTTCACAGCAGAATTAAAAGCTCAAAATCTACAAGACCCCCCCTAGTACAGAGACGAGTATCTCTGGTCTCCTGGGCCACACGCTTTCCACCGTGCTGAGCCCACCTTTTTAGACTGTGAAGAAGGACTAAAGTAGCCAAGTTTTCCTTTTTTTCCTGGGGAATCATACTGATGAGGCTTGCTTCCTTTGGATCACTTTTGAGGGATACACTTGACAGTTATAGTGTATAACTGTACAGTTATAGTGTATAATTGTTGATGATTCTCTTCAATTTGTTTTCAAAATATCAGGAGGGAAGTTTGGTATCTACCTGGAGAGAGCCACTTGTCTCCCCCACAAATTTAATCTATTCCTAATCAAAGACAGCTTCAACTCTGTAGTTCTAGCCCCAGCACTTAATGCAAGCCATGAAATTAAAGTTAATGTATCCTTTCCTTCTATGGTCAGAGAAAAGTGAAGGGATCCCCAGTCCAGAGTTAGATCTTGCCATATAACTCTTTGTGAACTCCTCAGCACTGTACCTGGGCTCTGAGCAAGAGAATGCCAGAACAAGCCCAGGAAGGCTTCGGTTTACACCTACTCTGGCCCCCAGAGGACAGCATTTTGACAGACAAGAAATGGAGATAGGTAAGGGAGGCCTGGAGGAAAGGAAATCAGCACATTTAATTAAAACACACCTAGATACACATGATAAAAGAGGAAATATTTTTCTTTCAAAGCATAAATAATATACTGCAACAGCACCTGGGTCCTTCCCAAAGCCTGAAATGACTGCACCATCAGCTGTGCTCGTGAACTTGCCTGTAGTGGGTGCACATTTTTATTCAGTCCATGGTAAACTTGCACAGGAAAAGCTATTACACAAAACTTGGAAATGGGTAAATAAAAGTCACATATGCCAAGGAGACTGTAACAACTGCCAGAGCCACATGCACTTTCAGGCAGAATCGGGCGGTTTCAGACACAGACAATCTGAGCTGAGCATCTGCAGCACCACACACAACTCCCGCACGCGGGAACCAGGGCAGCTTCCCCAGCCAGCCAGCCAGCCCTAGGTTCCCCGCCAACAACTTTGTAATTCATATGAAAGCTAAAAATAGGTGGAGGAAACCTTTGACCCAAAACACAGAAGAACCAAGCCAGGTCACCAGAGAGAAGAGGAGCCGTCGAAAAAGAAAGGGAAAACCCCGAAAACAACTGTCTTCACTTTCTAGCTTCCAAAAGCCTTGTACAAAACCATCCACCTTTGACCCAGAGCCCAATTCCACAAATTTGAGAAGAAAGGTGCAAAACTACTTACGTATCATAATTATCCCGAAATCCTTTAGCAAAGGGGTTGTGATCTATTTTCAGTTGTGTAATCTGGAAAAGAGAAAAAAAGATTAATATAACTTTACTTTTTATACAGCAGATTGGGTGTTTAAGAATATGTCATCTGCCACTTTTTACAGGGGCTAAAGGCCTACAATTTCATTAAATAGCAAGGTTTCCCTAACTGAAAATTTTGAGGGCTTGGGTGGAAAGAGGAAAAAAGTATGATGAAAGTTATGTTTAAATTAATGGTGACTAAAACTAAAGTATAGCTTTCCATTAGCTCTCCCATGTGTCCTAAACTGGTTCAAAATGCTCATTTTTAAAAATGCTTGTTATGTAAATACACTTATTCAGGCAAAAATTTTTAAGGGGCACTTGAATTCATTCCTAAAAAATGTCGCCTATCTTAAATGCTTCATCATATTTTTAAGTTAGTCGCTTCTGATACACAACTTGAAGAACCCACAAGTTGCATCTTGAAATCAGTTTTGATTGCAAATAAATGCATATCTTTCATTTATGATATTTTCCTGTTTTAAAAGAAACGCTATCACTTCTAGTAGTCAAATCAACAATAGTAAAATAAGTTTTTGCAAACTTGCAAATGAGTGCTAGGAAGCTCACTCCATAGTCCCCAGTAATTTGATTTATGTTAGTTTTTAAATCATGAATATGCGTTTCTTTCGATCACCCAGAAACTGATGTTTGAAAACTAAATCAAAATTCCCAAGAGGCTCTAGAAATCCTGGTCACCTTGAAGGTGGCCCGGGTGACCCGCGTCGGAGACGAATAGGAAGCGTTTTCCCACCGGTTAGGTATACACGGAAGGTGCCCAGCAGGCCCCTGGCCCTACTCCTAAAAGGCATAGCAGAGCCAGCTGTGGCGGATGTTATTGTCCGAGCCGGGGATGACCTCCGCTACCGCCTCGGGCCAGGGGAAGCCTGCGCCGCCCGCCGCGCGCCCAGCCCCCAGGCCTCCTTACATCGGTGTTCTGGTAGGCAGTGACGGCGATGAACTGAGTCTCGGGAAAAGTGAACGTCTGCACGCGGCCGGGCTGGCTGGTGTCCTCCGTGCCGTCCTCGTTCACTTCCACTACATGCAGGCGGGGCTGGTACTTGTGCAAGGACTGCAAAACCACCATCTGTCCGGCGGAAAGAAAGGGAAGCGCCCGGCGGCACGTTAACGGGGTCTGCGTGCAAGAGGCTGTGAGCCGCGGCCCGTGTGGAGTCTGCGAGGAGCCCGCCGCCCCGGGAAACTGATCGCGGGCCTCGCCCGGCTGGTGACTGGCTGGCCGAAGCAGACCGGCCCTCGTTCCACCGGAGCACGCAACGCCCGAGCACCAGGGAAAACCAAACCCGACCGCCCAGCCCTCAGGGCCCCTCTCCCAGTTCTCCTTTGAGGAGCAACAAAGATTTTCACAACCTGCAGATCCTGCGCGCTTCCTTCTCAAATCAACCAAATATTTGTACTTGTGAAGGTTGGGAACTCAGGAATTGGGCCGGGCCGGGGGGGTCCGAGAGGGACAAGAACAACTTTGTAGATTGCTTAATATAATTTGGGAGGACGGAAATAGAATTTTTAAAAAGTGTCTTTAATGAAGCAAAGAAACATGTGTCGTTCCTCATGTTAATTTAAAGTGATGAACTGGATCTTAGGCAGGAACGAATGTGTATAAGTGAGTGTGCGTGAGAGAGAGAGAAGTGAGCGCTTGAGCCACTGACCTGCCCATTGTTGTTTGAGGCTCCTTTGTTGTTTGTAAGTTTTAATTTTCCAAAGGAGATTTCTTGACGCATCCAGTGAGCCCCCGTGTTGGGGGAATCCGGATGCATATAGACCCGATTTCCTAGAGAAAGAGACAAATTGTTTACATGTGCCCGGGGCACTGCCCAGTCCCAACTCCTCACCACGCAGGACACACACACAGACACAGACACACACCCTTTATTCCACTGTAAGGCCCATTAGCTGGGGCTTTTTTAAGGCCGCGCTTTCTTCCTATTAACTGGGAATGATTAAAATAGCTTTTGCATAATCCTCCCCCTTCTCGTCGCTCAGTCTCTCCCCCATCCTCCTAGTTTCCTTTTAGAAGTCATTGGCCGATCGTTTTAAAAGTCGCTCGAGCCAGTCCACAAAGGCTTTAATTAATCATTCTCACCTAAATAAGTGTCAGGAAGACGTGTTAATTGGAAGGACTTGCCTTGCACATTGGTGTCCGCTTTGCCGCAAGGAACCCATTTGCCTCCTTGAAACCTCCAGTGATTGGGATCCGCCAAAATCACATCCACAAAAATATTGTAATGAGCCGTGGGATCGAGACCAGAAATGTTAAAACTTAAAAAAGGAAACATGCGCCTATTTAAATTAGGGAGGGGGGAGACAACAAAGGGGGGGAAAAAACATAAATGTTAAAGATTAAATGCAAGAAGCGCGGCGCCAGATAGCAAAGCAAAACTTATTCTCTCAGCATCGATGAGCGAACGTTTGCTGGATTGGAAAAAGGGTGGTGGGGGAGAAAAAGAAGAGGGACTGAAGTCTGGGAGATCGGCGAATGAACTGGAATGGGGAGTCGGCAGGTATCACTGCCCAGGTGGAAAGCGAGGTTGGCGACCCGAATCTCCACTTGTCGGTGTATCGGGCACTGATGCGTCCCTCCCATCTCCCGGCCACAGGCCAGGGCTCTCCCCCTCTCTCTCTCCTTTCTCCGGCCACTGACTGGCTCTCCGACCACCTTTCTAGAGCGGGGAAACCCACCCCACCCCCCCGCCCCGCTCCCCGACATCACTGCGGTGGTTATACCTTCCACTTTCCGTTTTTCCAACACCAGCCAACTCTAGGACGCGCCAGAGCGCCTGCCACTCCGCTCCCGACCCCAAATCGTCGCTGCCGCGGCGGTCACAGCCCGGATACACATGCCCCCCGGCCGCGCCTGGAGCAGCGGCAGCCAAGAATGTAGCATTACCTTCCCTGTTTGGTGATGATCATCTCCGTTTGGTGCCGGTGAAATTTCAGCCAAAGGGGCCTGTTGCACAGGTACACCTGCGCTTTGCCGGGCACCAGCCCGGGCTGTGTGGAGGAGAACTGGTAGAACGGGGCTCCTTGGTAGGAGTGGCCGTACTGCTGTGGGTAGGGGTAGCCGGCGGTGGGGTAGCCCTGCGGTGAGGAGTTGGACAGGAGGCTGTTGTAGGCTCCGTTGGTGATGACCGGGTGGTGGGCCATGTAGCGGCTGGGGCTGCCGATGGAGAAGGCGGGGTGAGCCGGTCCGTGCTGGCCGGGGTACGGGAACATGGCACTGGGAGCAGTGGCCGCGGACTGTGGCTGGCTGGACTGAGAGAGGAGGTAGCGATCCGCAGCAGAGCCATCGAAACTGTGACGAAGCTCAGAGACCCCGTCCAAGACAGGAGAGAGTTTACTTCTCTGGACGTCCCCTGGTGAGTCCTTGGAGTCAGGAAAATTGTCTGTATCTGACTGATTCGTCATCCCCCTGGTAATTTTTTTCAAAGGTGAACTTCTCTCCAGGTTGTCAGTGGTCGAGATAATGGGATGATCGTGCAAGACAAGCTCAGATCCGCCTGAATGTGGGTAGCTGCTGCTCACATTGAGAAATTTCTTGGAGAGCATGATAGAAGGAGAAAGGCAGTGCTCCAGCTGCATAGCTCTAGAACCTGAACACTCGCCCTCCTGTCCCTGGTTTTTAAAGTCCTATTTATCATAAACTAGAAATCCACAGACCCCCTCACTAGACAGAAAGCACTTCAACCAGCAAATGCTTCTCAAAGGTTTGATTTACTTTTTTTTTTTTTCCCTGGGAGAAGAGATTGGCCAATTGACACTATGCAGCAATCAGAAAAGCCTCACTTTTGATCTTGCTGCTTGTGCAGCCGATGAAACGGCTCCTGCCATTGGTTAGCTGCTGACAGTAATTTAATTAGATAGACATTAATTAGGATAATCACCTGGCTCCTGGTCGCAGCGATCATGGCAAATTGAAGGGGATGATTTTATTGTTGGCTTAGGGGGGTGGGGAATGTGTGTTGGTTTTACGTGAGCACTGTTGTGTCACCTTTAAGCTTTGTGACCACTGCTTTAGGAAGATTCAAAGATGTGCAATTTACTAAACATTTCCTACCTACCCCCTCCCCCTCCTTTGGAGCTGAGGGGCGGAGGAGGGAATTCGACGATGCTAGGAGACTTTTCGGATCTGAATGAGCCAAATATTCAGTTGAATGTAACGATTTCAAGTGCAAAGTATACAAAGCGCGAGCCGGTGGCCTCTTCTCGCCCTGTAAAAGTTCCAGAGTCTGTCTTTTCCAGTTAATACAGAAGCACAAGACACCTGAGCTAGTCCTTTGTGATCAGGTCCTGCGTGTCCTCAACGAACACCCCCACCAACGCACACCCTTTTAACTCCATACAGAAATAAATAAATCACTGCTACTGAGCGCCACAGCCATGAAAGTGAGCGGGAAGGGGGAGTCGTGGGGGAGAAAAGCAAGCAATTCAGCCACCCCATCCACCCACCACGGGAAGATTCGGTTTCTTCGTTGAGCACAGAAACAGTGACAATCAATGATCTCCTTTTTAAGTTTTGAAATAATCATAAGCTGTCGGGTTGAAGTGCCTTAATGTATTTGCAGTGATGTTTACGAGGTCTTTCCTAAATATTTAATCAGCGAGCTTGGTCGCAGATTATCTGAAGAGCATCTAACTGGGGGCAGGCGCCATGCATCCCTCACGTCCCACTGCACTTCCTTCTCTCCGAGGTACGGCCTTGGCGACAGGTTCAAAAGCCTCGCCAGGAAAAGAGAGGGCCGAGTCCTCGCGCGAATGGGTTCGCTAGAAGCGCTGATCTGGGGAGACAGAGTGGAAGCGGTGTCAACGCAGTGATCTTTATGGAAGACTCGTGTGTGTGTGTGTGTGTGTGTGTGTGTGTGTGTGTGTGTGTGTGTGTAATGTTTATATAATCTGGAGGGGAGAAAAAGAATCCATGCCAATAATTTTAAAATGAGAAAGAATTTAAAGACGGATAGAGAAAAGGACCAGTTTAAAAGGATGCTGGCACAAATAGATAGCACGAGGCAAGCAACCCCGAGGTGTGAGAAGATCTCCTGGTACTGGCTACACAGAGCAACTCAGTCTCCGCCCGAAACGGAGCGCCAAGAGCAGCAGAGGGTTCATCGCGTGGCCGGCACCCGCCAGCCTGCCCTCCCGTGGCTTTCCCGGGACGGCCGAACCGCGCGGGAACCAGGAGGAGGAGCGCAGCGCCAGAGCTCGGCTCGGCCCCGCGAGCTGGCTGGCGGGCCGGTTCCACGCGGGGCACCGCGGGGGCCGGCGGCGGGAGAAGCCACCCCCGCGCTCGGCGCTCGGCGCTCGGCCCTAGGCCAGCCGCCTTGCTCAGGCTCTATTGTCTAAGGTCTCTAAGCGGCCCGAGAGTAGGTTCCCCAGCACTCTGGCGATCTCGAGGGGGACCCGCCCGGATACCCAGGGAGCGCGGCGGCTGGCGCGTACCCCAGGGGGACACACTCTTTCCGTGCCGGAGGCTCGGCCTGGGCGCCTCCGCCCGGTGGAGCTCGTGCCTTCCTCCGAGAGTGTATCTGCCTTCCCCTCGCCCCCGCCGCTCCCGGAGGGAAAGGGCGCCCGGGACACTGGGTGGGTCCCGCGCTTGATAGCGAGGGGTTGCCAGACTCGACCTGTGCCTATGCGGGCTCATTTGGAGAGCGCCGCCTGGGTGGGCCCAGCGGTCAGCGTACAGCCCGGACTGCGCCCCCGTGGCGGTTCGGGCGCCTCGGCCGCAGAGGGCATCAGCTGTGGCCTCCACCACGGCGCCGTAAGCAAGGTCCGATGCGGGCGGCCCAGGGCTGGAAGGGTTGATGACCAGATGCCCCAGATTCAAGCCGAGATAGTTTTCTAGGAGAAAAATACAGCCAGACCCCATTTTCCTTTAAAAAGCTTCATAAACAAGCAGGGGCTTAATTACTAAGGTGTTGGGAGGTGGGGGAAGGGACCGTGGCTATGACATTATTGATGCTTTTTTATTTTTTTCCTCTTACCTCTATCACCATTTCTCCTGAGAGCCTTTTGCCCTGTTTTACCTACTGTTGCTTTCTCCTTTCATTAACTTCTTTGTCCCCGAATGCCTTTCTTTCCACTGTTTTCAAGGTTGCCCACCTCTCACTCCCTCAGTGGGACAGAGCCTTAAGTGTGTAGCAAAAAAAGGAGAGACTCTACCTGGGCTCTTAGTCAGGTTTTTTTATTCCTAGTACCCTGAATTGGCTTTTTTAAAAAATGAAGTGCTAAAATGACATGTTAAAGTTCAGAAGAGGGAGAGTGCACCTTTCTTAGTTTTTAAGGCATTGGATTAGAAGATAAACAGGAACACTCACTCAGATAATCAGGACCGCATTCAGTGATTCTTCAATACAGGTTTATGCCTTTAATATGCATGATCAAGAAAAGAAAACTAAGGTTTTTCTCAGGACCAAGCACATCTGCTCTTGACTCATACTTCTGTAGAGCTGGGCTTCTCAAACTTTAAAAGTTGCATACGACCCACACCAGGATTCTTGATTCTGATTCAGGTCTGGATGTATGATGAGCTCCCAGAAGACCCAGGTGCTCCTGGTCCAAGCAGATCACACTGAAGGCTGGAGTTTTTGATGCCCCCATACTAGTCTAAGAGGAAAGCAGGACATCTGAGGCAAGTTTTGGTTCTAGTGCAACAAAATCCATAAATGTGCTCATATAAGCACACATGTACACACACACACCTGAAGTGGCTTATAGAGCTTGTGGTTAAGTAAGTTGTTTCAATGCCTGCCTAGGCTATCAGGCTGCTGCTGCTAAAATAGATGTGCATTCCAAGACAACGGTGTTCACAGAGCCTCTTTGGGCAGCCTCCTTTTGATGGACTCCAAATCTATAAAAATTTAGGTTTTTTGCTAGAAGGGATTTGGGGAAGGTTTTGAAATTGGGACTGTCTCCAACATGAATCAAGTGGGAGAACGTGGGTATGTGACTGTGGGAAGTCCAGGAAGATGAAGTGATCAAGTAAGAACAAAAGGCAGGCCTTGTATAAGCCTTCTCAGTCATTTTATTCACTCTGGAGCTATTTTTCTGGGGGGACTAAAGTGAAAGAGAAAGAAAAAAAAGTTTCCAGTGGAATGTTGAGAACAGCCCTTCGATTACTGAGACCTTCTTCTGAGGGCATATTGTACCAAAAAAATCTTTACTAGCTTTTATGAACAGTATCTGTGAAAGAAGTCACAGATAAATAAGATAAATAAGTCACCTTATTTATGTATGGGGGGAAATCATGTATAAAAAAAAACCAGCTTGCACACAAGTTTAAAGCAGGCAAAGGAAAACTTCTACTAACTTCAACTCTTATATTTTAATTGTAAATGGTTAGCTGTTATAATCCCAACAATTAATACATATTACATGTCCTACATAAAATATACCATCACTGTCTTTAAAAGAAGAAACCACAGGACAATCAAGAAATGCTCAAAACACCTCTTATTCCACCAAAAATGAGACTGTGAAACATACTGGGAATTTAAGCCATTTCCACTTAAAGTTTCTAGCAACTTTTCATTAGGCTACCAAGGAAAGCCTAGGATTACTCAAATGGGACAGTAATTTGGTTCATCATATTATTCATACCACATCCAGCAGAGGTTAAGTCTCAGTTCTAAATCCCCAAGTAAACTCCCCTTTAATGAAGCCTTAGAAACATTTTTACCATATTTTCACAAAGGGAGAGACAGAATTAAATGTTATTTGTCTCCACACTTTTTGCACATTTCTTGGAGCACCTGGTAGGGTAATGTCCCATGAATGAATACTAATGAGAACAATTACTTATGTACATCAAGTCAGAAACAGGTTGAAATATCTCTGAAAACTGCCATTAGTCAAATTTTTGTCTTTATCGGAAACTGGGTCCATCTCAGTTAATTTGAGATGAGAGAGAACAATGACAAACTTATTGCTTATGTACTCAAGATATTAAATTCACATTATGGCTTCATTTCTCATTTTGCTTTGGAGACATTACACACCTTCTACAGCTGTCTCAGCTAAAGTCTAGCGAAGTATGCAGCAGGCAACTAACTCCCAGACAATCTCAACAATGTTGGTGGAATGTACTCTTTAAAAAGAAAATCACAGAAATCTAAATTTAAATTGCCTCCCTTTTCTTCTTATATTACTTATCTGAAATACTGGAAGTAAAATGTGTTAACAAGATATTGAGTATACAATATTAACTTGTGACAAATACTTTTAATATGTCAACATTTTTCAGGGTTACTCACTTAAGAGGTAGCCACTCATTAATGGCAGTCATTTTACCTTTGTGAAGTTTTGTTATCATACTGATGTTTTGTGTTATCTTAAATTGCAAAGGGAAACGTATCTTTGTGTGAGATTTCTAGAGCACTGTCAAATGTTATTCTGTCAATTCCACCCAGTGCCAAAAAGACCTCAGGAGACATAGATTGTAAATGTATTTTATTTTGTAAGCAACAATCAAAATATATTTGTGTTACTGATTTCTTCAAATATTAAACGGGATCTTAACAAAATTTGTCCACTTTGATGTATTCTTATACAACTTTGGAATCTGCAAAGACCCTGACTAAAGAAACAGAAGTAATTGCACAATGGAGACTGAAGGTGTTACAGTGCTGCAAATGATGCCAGATGTCTTACTTTTAACCAAATACACCTTCAGAGGTCCCTTGATTTTCAGCATTAGGAACAACAGAGGACTATACACTGAAAGTATCACTAAAAGCTTTTTCCATTACTTTATTTAAATACAACAGTATCCAACATAGCTGCTAAACACTGGACAATATTTGAAGTCATAAGTACATCCACATGTTCCTCCAAATGACGTTTGGGGTCCTAGAAGAAAAAAAGAAGGAAAGGAAAAAAAAAAAACAACAAGAACCATATTACTGGTAGATGAATTGCTTAGATTTTTTTTTCAGTAGCTGATGAAATCGGTAAAGAAAGCCAAACTTAAATGTATATATATATTTTAAAATTTTGTTTTCCTAATATGCTATTACATTTTCAGGATTACTAAATCTGTTAAAATGTTAAGGAGCTGATAAAATAAATGAAAGGCTGATTTACACAATGTTATGATTGCAGCAGAAATTATAAAGAGTCACAAGGAATTCTATACAGTTTGAAATCATCTGATAAAAATATTAAGAGTATTTTATATGTATGTATAAGCTTGATTATAGGTGTGTATTTTCTGCCATTCACATATATTCAATGTCTGAGAGGGTACTTTGCTTAAAGCAGACACATACCAATAGGTAAGAGTTCAATGTGAATCTCATCACTTCCTCTATAATTTTAATTTAATTTCTATGTGACTTTAATATTTCACAAATAGTACTTTAAATCAGAAATACTCTTGAATCAAAAGTCACTGTTAGTAACTTAAAAATTTAAATACAATTTGGATCAATTCTAAAATGTTAAGAATATTTCATGTAGCTATTTTGAAAAAATGTATCACAGAAAAGAATATAGGTACAATCCGTTAAGGTAAACTTGATCAAATCTGTATTTGAAATATGAGTTAAATATAAGGCTTAAGGTTGCACTGTAATAAAGGAAGTTAAATTAAAATGCTTAATATACATTTATGTTTAAGGCAGAGCTGATTGAAATATTTCAGCTAAAAACTTGAAAGCTTTGAAATAAAGGGTACACAATGTACAAAATTAAAAATTCTCAATTAAAGCATTATTTTCTTATATGCATTGCTAAAATACCAAGAATCCTAACTTAAAAATGTTCACCACTGAAATTACTTCTTGGCTGTTGCTTTCTGAACTACAATTTCAACACGTTGATTTCTTTAAAACACCCAGAGGCACACCACGCTACAGATAATTTCAAATAAATAGACCATAATATTACATTTTCTTTAGTTAAAAAAAAACAAGCCTTAGGGCATTTTAGGTGAATGAGTCTAACACTGGCTAGAGAAAAAGACACTGGTCTGATTCCATTATAGCCAGTTTGCCTTTGCCACGCACTAGGCCAAACTAGTGAAGTATATTTTAAAAAAATGATTGTGATGACTATTAAACTTTGCAATTATATATATTTTCAGTTTCATTTTTAATTTACTCCTTTTATTTGCTGCTGTTAAACTGAATCTACATCAAGAAACTACAGCATCAGAGTCATTTATTCAAGAAATAGTTACTGAATGCTAGGTTCCAAGGTGGTGATCTAATATTACATATTAAAATAAAATATGTAGTGGGAAAAGACAAGGGTGGCTGTATCACACAGGATGAAAGAATAAGATGAATTATATCTCATTTTGGTTTTGGAGGGTTTCTACTGTTATTTAAACCATGATATTCAGAATGCAGTGGGATCTGACTTCGTCAATTATGATATTTAAGTTAGAACCTTTGCCCCTACTGCTCTATTGGAGTAACTGGTTTTGTGGCAAATTGGTAACACACTTCCCGCAGTTATCTACATTACTTCTTGTGGCAGCTGGGTGATTCTTAGAGATTTCCCATCCAAGAATGGTCCTGGCCCAAACCTACATAGCTTGTGAGATGTGATGGGATCAGAGCATATGGTAGGATGGCTGAAAGCAAAGACAGCTTAGTGTCTTGCATCTGAAATATCAAGATTCTGCCAACATCAGCAATATGATAACCATGTTCCATGAAATGAAAAAATGTAATCAACATTCTTTAAAAAACAGTCTAATTAATCTGTAGATTCTTTTAATTGGTTGGTGTGTTCCCCCCCAACCTTCAAAAAATAGGAACTAAAATATATATTTCATCTTGGTAAAGTGAAAGAGCAAATACTTGAAACCCTTTCTCTTCACTCAGTAAAATCCAACAGGGCTTTAAGCTTTCTCAAGAATATTACCTATAAATTGAAGTCTACATATTGACAAATTAGATATCATTTAAAAAACTGTTATGTATGAAATAAACCCACCATTCTATTATCTTCAAGGATAATATTATTTTAGATAAAAACAATACTTGGAAAATTAACTCAGGATGCAAGTTTCCTGATTTAGTTCTACTATTTTCACTAAAGATAGTCTCTCATAGGTATGTATTTGTGATTTACTTCTCTATAGATGGCAAAAAGACTCTGACATCAAATAATTCAGTGACCTTTAAAATTAGCATCACATTTACATGACAGAAGAAAAATGCAGAGTGAAAACAGGGGAGAAAAAAAATCATACAGGCTCCAAAACAGCTTTAACTCTCAAGAACATGTTACTATGTGACTACATAACCTATTACGGTGCACCTTACCTGCTTGCCGACATTCTTTATTGCCAGCTGCTCAGGGGTCATCTTATCTTCTTCTTCTACAGCCTGTGAAGGAAACACAGAGGACAGAGTTTCAAACTCTAAATGTGCTTTTCCCACTGCAAAATAATCAAAGATGATGATGACCATTAATTTTCATTCACGACTCTTTTATTCAAGCAATTTATTGGGCAAAAAAGCAGTTCTGCTAATCCTTCAGGGTAATAAAAACTATCACCACCATCATTTTGAAAACAGACTTGAGAAATTTGTCCAAAAAAACCCCCCAAAAACTGAAAATATCAAATTGGATCACCAACTGGAAGTGTTAACCATTTGAAAACTGTTATGGAATTATCTGATGGATGGCTAAACTGGAGGAAGGAAGAACCTAAGGCAGCTGCTTGTGGCACTGGGGTACTAACGAGTTTGTCTTCTTTTCCTACTTTCTCTATGTTTCTCCCACAATTTCCTATTATTTTTGTCTCCTTTTTCTTGTCGGCCAAACCCATGCATACCCAGTATCTATTAGGAGGCTTCCCAGGTGGCACTAGTGGTAGAGAACCTGTCTACCAATGCAGGAGACATAAGACACACAAGTTCAATCCCTGGGTTGGGAAGAGCCCCTGAGGAGGGCATGGCAACCCACTGCAGTATTCTTGCTTGAATCCCAAGGACAGAGGAGTCTGGCGGGCTACAGTCCACAGGGCTGCAAAGAGCTGGACACGACTGAGGTGACTTAGCACAAAACACTTCGGGGGCTTCCCTGGTGGCTCAGATGGTAAAGCAGCGACCTGCAATTTTGGGAGACCTGGGTTTGATCCCTGGGTTGGGAAGATCCCCTGAAGGAGGGCATGGCAACCCACTCCAGTACTCTTGCCTGGAGAATCCCATGGGCAGAGGAGCCCAGCAGGCTACAGCCCACTGGGTCACAAAGAGTCAGACACGACTGAGCGACTAAGCACAGCACAGCAAAACACTTAGGATCAGAGGACCTGCTGCTGACTTTTGATCCACACCTAACAGATCATAAAGTATCTTCCCTTAATACTTTCACATATTTAAATCTCTAAAAAGTAAAACATGTACTCAGAAAAAATTCTCATTTCTTCATATGATTTTTCATAATCATGAAGAAATAGAGTAATCTGAGGTGTTCAACACCAAAAAATTACTTGAATTAAATGCCAAATCAAGAAAAAATTAAATCAATCAAACCATATAAACAAATCACTTTCTACTATTTTCATAGTCAGCTACAAACTTATATGTGTATGATCATAAATTCTCTAGAATAATTTTGAAATAATTACAGCATTTATATTAGCTACCTCTCTTGCCCTCTACCCTAATAATGGCAGCACCACATAAACTATTGAGAATTCTAAGTTTAAGGAACCTCCTTCTTAACAGCTTTGAGTATGCCACTGCCTGATACTAGGACTGCATCAGGTGAACTCCTAGTCTATGATTTATTCATAGCATTTTAATAAATGGAAAATGAAGAAAATGTAAGTATCATCGATCTTAAGAAATAATACCACAGCACTTAATATGGTTACAAAGCATGGCGGGTGGGCAGTGAGGAGGTAGGGGAGAAAGCAGGAAACCAAAATCCCAGTGAGGGCTAGATTTGGATACTCTAAACTTAATAATCTCACAGCTGCCAAATTTCTTCATGTGTGAACAATGAACATGTAGGAAATGCAATCATCAGACATTTCCCATAAACTGGGAAGTTTGGCTGCATTTCACACCTTCTTAATAGTTTTGTAAACAGAGAACTTGAAAATGAGCAAAGATGGCAAGTATCTAATTTTATAAATGGACAAACTATCTGGAGAATTTTCCCCAGTAGAACCAGCCTAAAGAGAAAAGATGGTGAATAAGTACTGTATCTATCTACTGATTATTACAGGATCCTTATTTACAACACATCATTAGGAAATATATTTATGACTCATAAGACTGAAAGAGAAAATAAGTCAATAACACTCCAAATCCAGAATTCCCTAGACAGAGAATATGTTCATTTTCAGAGTCAGATGTCACTCATTATTCTCAGCTAGCTAAAAAAAGGATCTCCAAAATTGTGTCTCCCATTATCTTAGTGTTTTACATACATGCAAACACTGGCAACACATAAAAAGTTTGTCTTTCTAAATTACCTTTACAAATCATACAAACATACACTTTACAAAGATACACTGTATCTTACCAATCTGAAAACATTAGATGAATGGAACAATTCACATAAGTTTGTACTCTATATCCATTCAGTGTTAGTTGTTCCATGCTCATGCCAACAATAGTACTTTACAGTACTGGAAGGAGGTAAGGGTTTTGGAATTTGGCTCAAAATACCAATCCATGTACAAAACAGTTATTATGCAGTATTCTGGAGTGTTGCAAATATCAAAGATGGCAGACATGCAAAGATGAAAGTAAAAAACCACTTAAAGCATTGATCTTATTTGAAAGGTTAAACAGAATATAAAAATAAAAAGAATATAAAAATAAAAAGAATATAAAAAGCTCTCACTCAGTTTTTAAAATCTTTTATATCATTTAACCACTTTACCAATTAGCTTTTCCATTTCCAATAATTAAAAGAGAGAGTTCACAAACTCTTTGAGAAGTGCAGATGGTAAAAAGTACTCCCAGCCATAGATGCCATCTGGAAAATGAGGAGCAGCTGTAGATTCAGGCATATACGAAGGTTGCAAACCCCATGACAAAAGAGTAAGCACATCTCTTACATTCTGAGATAGATCAGATCATCACAACAAACCCCTAAATATTTGCTCCATCTACCTAAGTTACCTTTATCACTTTACCATTCTGGGCAAGACCAGTTCGTCTTCATTCTGGCTAGTCACCAGGAAAAATTAGGAAATGGTACCAGCAGAAACAAATGAAATTCAGGCACAGGCAATGTCCTCACTAGGGGAACTTCTGTGTTTATGGCAACTTCTGTGATTTGGCATCAAATTTTGCTTTTGCATTCGTGCTCTTCGGTTTACTCAACCAACAAAAAAGCACTGAAAATGTTTGTGGCTATTCACACTTGAAACGTTTTTAACAGTTTATCAACAAAGACCCCCAGATGGCTATCCCATAATGCACGGTCTGCACAGTTCTAAGAAATTCCTGGAATTTGGTCTGTTATGTTATCACAATCCCCTCAGATGTACCCCGTATCTTAAAGAGGCTTTTACCAAACCCAGTAATCTCACCGTCTTTTTTCTGGTAATGGTCAAATTTCTCAAATGGAAAACCTCTGTTTTAAATCTGACCATTTTAATTTTCCCTTTGACAAACATGGATTGGATCCTGGGCACTTCATTAATATGATTTTAAGGATCTCTCCACCTTGTAAATTCCAATAGATTCCATTTACCTGGACTTTCTGAAGACCTTTTCTAATACACCCTCTTCTTTTTTAATTCTTTAACCTCTGCTTTTATGACATATGTCTCTTATTTCACTTTATTGTTGTTCAGTCACTAAGTTGTGTCTGATTCTTTGAGACCCCATGGACTGGAGCATGCCAGGCTTCCTTGCTTTCACTATCTCCCAGAGTTTGCTCAAACTTGTGTCCATTAAGTTGGTGATACCAACCAATCATTCCACCCAAGCCCATTTCTTGGGCTTTCTTTTTTTCGCTTTGACATGTTTGCTGTATTCACTCTATAACATGCCATGCTCCCATTTAAGCACATGCTTTATAAAAAAATCACGTGTATGGTATATTATTTCATCATTAAACAATCTTTGCATAACTGCCAGTGAACATAACATTGTACTTTTTTCTTGATTTTTATACAGTCAATGAATTGACTATTTAACTGAATTAACTATTTAACTATTATGGGTTATGAGGATTGAGAGTAAGTTTAAAGAAATGGCTTTTATAAAACATACTTGGGAAAGCAAAATTAACAAACATGAAACAATTAGAAAACTCTCTGAGAAAGTATTACAGATGCAAATATGGAAAACAAAAAAGTGGGTTTCCTACAGTCACCAGTAATTAAATGTTAACATATACATAGTAATTTACAAAATCCTTAAAACATTCCAGTGAAATAATCAATCTACATTTTACATAAAGAAATTAGGCACTATCTCCTTCCTATATGTTAATTACATCAATATTTATACTATAAATTTTCTAACTCTCCTTTTGAAAATGCTTTCATGCATGTCCTCAAAAGTAGAATTTTCAATATTTTATATATTAGTAAGTAACTATTAAGTACTCACTACAAGTAAGACAGTTCTTCAAGAAGGTCACATTTGAGGTTTACTCTACCTGTCTATAAATCACAAATTATAACACAGTATGAAATAAACAAAAAAGGAGTATACTCAGTGAATGATGGCGACACACAGCCAATAATAAGCCACAATAAACCTGTGACTTAAATATAGTCCTATCTATCTCCAAAGACCTCAAAGCAACATTCATGGCAATTTGGGAAATAATTAGTTTTTAATGACACATTCTGAATAAAGCAAACCCATGATTTGTTAAATGACCCCGAACAGTGTAAATTCTTTCTAAAAATACTAGAAGGAATCCAACTTTAAAGTGTAACTATATAAAACATAAAATAAAGAGCACATGTGTGTGCCCATACAAGTGTTGTATACATAATAGAAACTAGTTTAGCTTGTAGAAAAAAATTTCTATGGCAGACTCTACTACTAGTTACATACCCAATATATGTCTTTTCCTTCTTTTGTAATATAGCCTTGATTTTATTAAATGCAGCTATGCTCCCAGGTAAAAGAGTGTATTATAGAGCCTTTCTCAAAGCAAAGTATGTCCACTTGACTAAGTTCTGCCAATGAGATATAATCAGAAGTGCTGTGTGGGACTTATAGAAAAGGATCCTGAAAAGGAACTGATTTATTTGAGAGGTATCCTTTTTGCCCCTGCATTTCTTCCTGTTGCTTGAAACTCAGATGGGATGGCTAAAGCTTTAGCAACCCAGGAATCATGAGGAGATACAAAGGACAAAAGCCAATACAGGGAAAGTGGGGCAGAAGATGGAGATATC